AAAGCCCCCGCCATCCCCAACCCCGTGGCCGGCCTGGCCGCCCTCTGCCTCACCTACCGCAGCAGCATCCGCTCCCTGGAGGTGCCTCCCCTTCCTCCTCCTCTCCGGTCGCCTCCCCCTGCCCCAGTCGCTTTGCAGGGGACCTGGGTTCCCGCCCAAGGAAGAGGCCCCCTCCGGAGGGTCCAGCCCAAGCAGTCCAGGGAGGGGGGCTAGCGGGGGCTTTCAGGTCCGGGGTAACATTGCCCGCTCCCAGGATCACCCAGGGCCAGCCAAGGTTGGCATCGTTGTTTCCAGCTCTCCTCAACTCCCCCTCTTTGGGTGTCCGAGGAAGGGGCTAGAAAAAATGGGGAATGGGGGAGGGGGCGCTCGACAGGCAGCTTTGTTTGGGAGGGGGGGCTCATCACCCAAGGTGTCCTTCCCCAGGTGCAATGCGGAGAACACCTGACGCTGCTCTGGAGCCTGGCCACTCACATGTACCTGTTCGAGCACCTGCTGGCCACTCGGCGCTGCTTCGAGACGCTGCACAGCCTGCTGTCGCCCGCCAAGCCCACCGCTGCGACCCTTCCCCTGCAGGGCCCCGAAGGCCGCCTCCCTGCCCAGGACGGGGCCCCCTTCCCCGAGGGCCCGCCCCCCAGGAGGCTGCTGGGGCTGACCCTGGAGTTCAGCTCTCTGAAGGTGACCGCCTTCGTGTCGGAGAGCCGCTACTTGAGCCTGGCGGCCGAGCGGCTTTTACTCAATCGGCACGGGGCGTCCCTGCACGCCTACTGCCCGGGTCTGGTGGCCGGCTTTGATGGCAACAGCATCCTGGTCCTGAAGGAGGTGGAGCTGCAGGCCTTGCCGGAGCTGGAAGAGATGATCCTGCACCGGGGCCCCGTTCCCAACCTCTGCACTTTGCGCAACCACGTCTGGGCCCTTTCCTGCGCCAGCGTGGCGGTGGAGTTCCCCTACCAGTACGACTTCTCGGCTACCTTGGATGAGGCGCTGGGCGTGCAGAAGTGGCTGAGGGGGCTTCACGGGAGGAAGGCCGCCGCCGGCGAGGCCCCACCGGGCCCCCTGCCCCCCGACCTGCTGCTCAAGGTCCAGCACTTCTCCTGGGTCTTCCTGGACGACGTCTTCGAGGTGAAGCTGCGCGACAACTACGAGCTGATGAAGGACGAGAGCAAGGAGAGCGCCAAGCGGCTGCACCTGCTGGACGCCAAGGTGGCCGCCCTGCGCAAGCAACACGGGGAACTGCTTCCGGCCCGGAAGATCGAGGAGCTCTACGCCTCCCTGGAGAAGAAGAACATCGAGATCTACCTGCAGCGCTCCCACCGGCTCTACGCCAACACGCCCATGCGCAAGGCGCTCATCACGTGGACCCTGTGCGGCCTGGAGCTGGTGGCGCTGGCGGACGAGGCCTTCTCCGGGGCGGAGCGGGTGCTGCAGCAGATCCGGGACATGGATGCCGCCAGCCCCTTCCCGCCTGAGGGCCTGGAGCTCCTCACCCACTGGTGCCGCATGGTCAAGGGAAGCGTCAAGACTTTCTTCGGTGAGCGCGCGGCCCGGGCTGCACAGGCGTACTGGCGCCAGGGGTGGAATGCTGACCGTTTGGACCGGTTCGGGCGGACCAGGTGTTAAATTTTACAACCGATTCTCCAAACTGGTAGTTGAACCGACCGGCTGGCCCTGCTCACCCCACCCCTCCCCTCCCCGGAGTCGCCACGCGGCCCGTTTTGGAGGCAGGTAAGGGCAGGGTCTGTGCGCAGGCTCTGGGAGGGGGGGAAACGGCCGTCCGGGAAGCTCCGGTACGCCACGCCCACCCAGCAACCGGGCAGCGAACCGATTGCCGGGGTGTTTGAATTCCACCCACGATCTGGGCCTGTCTGTCAACTTCGGTGCCTTCATGTGGTCAGGAATGTGGCGATTTGTTGTTCAGTTGCTAAATTGGGTCTGACTCTTCGTGACCCCGTGGAGCAGGGCTCTCCCACCTTGACCACGTTAAGCCTGGGGGGTGTCAACTCCCAGAATTCCCCCCCTTTTTTCCCCCTAAATAAATGCATCATTTTTCTGGATAAATAAATCGGTTTTTCTGAACAGCTTTCTCTAAACCGGGGGTCCCCCAAACTTGGCCACTTAAAGACTTGTGGACTTCAACTCTCACAATTCTCCAGCCAGTTTCGCAAGCCTTAAAAGTGGCCCAGGTGGGAGATCCCTGGTCTGCTGGCTGGGGGATTCTGGGAGTTGAAGTCCCCAAGTCTTAAAGGGGCCTGATCCCTCCCTCGTCAGGATTCCGGCAGTTCCTCCCATTTAAATCCTGAGTCTCGAGCCAAACTTGCAAAACTTCAGAAGGATTTATTAGGAGTTGACATGCCGGCATTGCCTGGGTGCAGCCGACTCCGAGGCACATCATTCACTGTCACCCTTGACCCTGGTTTTCGGGCCCCCCGCAACCCCTGGGTGTATCATAATTCATATCCTCCAATGGGACACCTCCATAGCCCAGAGCCATCAATCAGGCTCCCCAGTTAGAATTTTGCGAGGCAGAAATTTCAGTCACCTAGTTACTATCTTTGAAAAGCTAAAAGAGCGGGGGGGGGGCAGGGGGTGTCTAAGCTTTGCTGAAGGAAGGGGGATGCAAGGCAAGAGCTAACTAGAGGACAGCCAAACGTGCCTTGGGACTGTCGAATGTGAAAACGGGCCATGGGTGCCCCCATGGATCTGGGGTTACAGCGAGGCTCTTCTGGCTATGGGGGGGGGGCCCCGTTGAACGCAATAAGCTCTCTACTAGGAGCCGTTTGAAGAGAAAAGAGGCGAAGGAGCCCCCACCCCACCCCAAGCCCCCCCACCCCTTCTCAACGTGGCCTCTTTCCTCTGCTTCCCCCCCCCCACACACAGTGCGGATCCGGGACTACCCCCGTTATTTATTCGAGATCCGGGACTGGAGGCTGTCGGGCCGGCTGGCCGGTGCGGAGACCCCCGGGCAGCCCTGCTCTCGCCGGCGTCAACAGCTGGAGCTGGGGGCCCCGTGGGGCCCTGTGACCGTGGAGAGGAATATGCCCCCCTTGAAGTTCTACCACGACTTCTGCTGTAAGTCCTGCTGGGGGGTGGGGGAAACGGGGGGGGGCTGGCTGGGGTAATCCTGGCAGCCCCACAGCCCTCCCTGAATTGTCCCGAATTGTGGGTTGGGGCGAGGAGGGGACTCTGACTCCATGGGGGGAGGGGGCAAGGGCCTCTGATCCCCCTTATTGTCGTGCCCCCCTCTTCCAATGCCCCTAATCCCCCCCCCCTGCCCCGACTCCGGCCCCCGCCCCCCCCCCCCCCCATTTAAATCCCGAGTCTCGGGCCAAACTTCCAAAACTTCCAAAGGGTTTATTGGGGGTGTACATGTCCAACACTGAGACGCGTCATTCCTTGTCCCCCTTGACCCTGGTTCTCCCCCCCACCCCCATCCCTCTGGGTGTGTCCTAATTCATATCCTCCAATGGGACACGTCCATAGCTCAGAGTCATCCATCAGGCTCTCCAATTAGAATTTTGCGCACAGCCGAAACTTCAGTCGCCTAGTTACTATCTTTGAAAAAAACATTGATGGAATGCACTTTCGATTTCCAAGCTGCCGCACTGCTCCCGCCTCCCTGTCTGTTATGGCCGCTCTTAAAAAGACCCCAGCGATATTTGATGAGTTGACACCCCTCTCCTCCTTTGCCCCCCCCTCCCCCAGCCGAGGTCTACCAGTTCACCATCGTCTGGGGGCCCTGCTGGGACCCCGCCTGGACCCTCATTGGACAGGCCATCGACCTGCTGACCAAGCCTTCCGAAGACCCCAGCCCGCCTCTCCCCTGGTGGGACAAGAGCCGCCTGCTGCTGCACGGCGACTGGCACATGGAGATCGAGCAGGCCAGCCTCCACCAGGTGGCCACGGAGGTGAGGCAGCGGCCACGGGGGATAAGGGGCGGGGCGGGGGCAGCCTCGGGGCCCGGACTTCCCCACCCACCCTCGTCTCCTCTCCTCCCTCCCTTTGCAGGATCCCTACAACACCACGGAGAACCTGCACTGGGAGTGGAACCGCCTCTCCTTCCACTGGCAGCCCGGCCAGTTTGTCTTCAAGGGAGACCTAGACGTCAACGTCCGGACAGCCTCCAAGTGGGTAATAGCCAGGAATGGGATTCTAACGGTTCACACCTATTCGCTAGAACCGGTTGTTAACCTTCTAAGTGGTTCGGAGAACCGGTTGTGAGAAGAAATTACAGGGCTAATCCTGTAAGGAAGGCAGGAAGGAAACATTCTGGGGTTGCTTACAGAAACTGCCTCTCTGTTAACCCTTATTACATTCTTGGCAGGACGAGACTTCCTGTCTCTGGAACTTCTCTGGAGTTTTTTTCCCTCCTTTGCTGGTACTTTGCTTGGGTGGAGGGACCATTCAAAGTTACAATGGCACGGAAAAAAGTGACTTATGACCCTTTTTCACACTTACGACGGTTGCAGCATCCCCACAGTCATGAGAGGGAGATGTGTGCCTCGATGTGAGTGATATTGAGTTGGCCACGCCCAGCCAATAACATGACCATCAAGCCACATCTACCAGTCACATGACCACCAAGCCACACCCATCAATTAAGCCACGCCCACAGAACCAGGTGTTAAAAAAATTGAATCCCACCCCTGGTAATATCCCACCCACCCACCCCGCTGCCCAGGGAAGGGGCCGGCAGGGGCTCTCAGATTAATGGGCTAAACAGACCACTTTTAAAATAATTAAAATCCCCCCCCATTGTTTTTCTAAACGAATAATTCATTTTTCTAGATAAATAAATGAATCCGATTTTCTGGACAGCTTTCTCTGACCCAGGGGTCTCCCAGCTTGGCCCCATTAAGACTTGGGGACCTCAACTCCCAGAATTCCCCAGGCAGCTTCACCAGTCCTCAAGGGGCCCAGGTGGGAGACCCTCCGGTCTGCTGGCTGGGGAATTCTGGGAGTTGAAGTCCCCAAGTCTTAAAGGGGCCAAGCTGGGAGGCCTCTGCTCTAAACCAACATTTTTCTAGGCGAAGACATGAAATGTCTAAACAAGGCAGTCCTCAATTAAGACCAAAACTGGGCCCAAAATTTCAATTCCTGAAACAGTTCAGTGAGTCTTGCCCTATTTTATGACTTTCCTTGCCACAGTTGTTAGGTGAATCGCTGGGGTTGTTAAGTTAGCAACCCAGTCGTTAAGTGAATCTGGCTTCCCCGTGGACTCTGCTTGTGAGAAGGTTGCCAAAAAAACCTGCGTTAACCCAGGACACTGCAACCGTCGCAAATACAAGTCACTTTTCCAAGCACCTGAATTTTGGGGACCAAAGGTTGTAAGTGTGAAAAACGGTCATAAGTCACTTTTCTCGGTGCCGTTCTAACTTTGAATGGTCACTAGATGAACGGACGAAAGAGCTTTGAGCAGTTCATTAAATGGAACTGTTGTAAACCAAGGACCACCTGTATTTCTAAATATAAAAGGGAAATATTCTAAGTAAACGTTCTGTGTAAATCGATTTTAGAAAGAAGGGAAGGAAGGAAGGAAGGAAGGAAGGAAGGAAGGAAGGAAGGAAGGAAGGAAGGGGATGGGAAGAGAATGGGAGGGAGGGAAGGAAAGGAAGGAAGGAGAGGATGGGAGGGAGGGAAGGAAGGAAGGAAGGGTGAGAGGAAGGTGGAAAAGGGAGGAAGGAAAAGGAAAACAAAGAATTAAGGAAGGAAAGAAGGAAGGAAGGAGGAGGATGGGAAGAGAATGGGAGGGTGAGAGGGAAGGAAAGGAATGGTGGAAGGAAGGAAGGAGAGGATGGGAGGGAGAGGGAGGCAGGGAAGGAAGGCGGAGGGAGGGGATGGGAAGAGAAAAGGGGAGGGAAGGAAAGGAAAGGAAGAAACGAGAGGATGGGAGGGAGGGAAGGAAGGAAGGGTGAGAGGAAGGGTGGAAAAGAAAGGAGGAAGGAAAAGGGAGGAAAACAAAGAGAATTGAAGGGTGGGTCTGACTCCCGGCCCCCTCCCCCTCCCCCCTCCCGGGCAGGTACGACGACTGCTGCTTCCTCCACCTGCCCCAGCTGTGCATGACCCTGGACCTGACCTGGCTGTGCCACGGGAACCCCCACGACCACCACAGCCTGGTGCTGCGCTCGCCGGAGTTCCTGCCGGAGGTGCCCCTGGGGCAGCAGTACGACTCCTACCGGGCCTTCCGCTCCGAGAACCTCAACCTGGCCATCCGCATGGACCTCACCCGGCCCAGTGGCGGTGAGCGCGGGGGGGGAGGGGGGGGGCGGGGGGTGGGGGGGGGGCGCCGGGGCCGGGGGGGGCCCCCACCCCCCAGGATGGCAGCCCCCCCCTGTAAGTAGGACTTCCCGGAGGGGCTTCCCCCCCCCACACACACACACAGGCAACTGGGCTTCCTTGGGCTTTCCCTTGAAAACGTTTCGCTTCTCATCCCAGAAGCTTCTTCTGTTCTTCAGGGTTCTGTCCTTCCCTCTCTCCCTCCCATTTCTTTTTCTTCCTTCTTCTTTTTCTTTCTATTTTCCTTCCGTCCCCTTTTCCTCCGTCCCTCCCTCCCTCCTTCCTTCCTTCCTTTGCCTTTTCTTCCGTCCTCCCTCCCTCCTTTTCTTTTTCTTTCCTTCCTTCCTTTCGCTCTCCCTCCCTCCCTCCCTCTTACTCCTTCCTTCCTTCCTTCCTTCCTTCCTTCCTCCCTCTCATTCCCATCTCCCTTCCTTCCTTCCTTCCTTCCTTCCTTCCTTCCTTCCTTCCTTCCTTCCTTCCTTCCTTCCTTTCTCTCCCCCTCCCTCCCTCTTGCTTCTCCCTCCCTCCCTCCCTTCTTCCCTCCCTTCTTCCCTTTGGCTTCGTCTCTTTCTTTCTCTCTGTTTCTGTTCCTTTCTCCATCTCTCTCTCTCTCTCTCTCTCTCTCTCTCTCTGAAGAACTGAAGGAGCTTCCCGGATGAGGAGAGAAACCTTTTCGAGGAGAAACAACCCAAGAAAGTTGCCTTGGGGGGAGAAAAGGCCCCTCGGGGAGGAGCAACGGGGGTCTCCCCGCTCGGCCCCTTGAAGACTTGGGGACTCCAACTCCCAGAATTCCTCAGCCAGTAAAGTCTGACCGTGGAATTCTGGGAGTCCCCCAGTCTTCAAGCGACCAGGGTGGGAGGCTCCAGACCGGGTTGACCAGCGCCTGCCTTCTCCCCCCCCCAGAGGCCTCCCAGCCCCGCATCCTCCTCTACAGCAGCACCCTGCGCTGGATGCAGAACTTCTGGGCCACCTGGACCAGCGTCAGCCGGCCCATCTGCCGCGGGAAGCTCTTCGGCAACCTCAAGCCCAGCAAGAAGAAACTGGGGCCGCACTACCGCCAGCTCTCCTGCACCGCCCTCTTCCCCAGGCTGCAGGTGGGCGGCCCTCCCCCCCCTCCTCCCAGGAAGGGCCTTGGGGAGGGGCCTGGATTGGCCCAAGCGGGG